TTTAAATGAAATACGAGCTCATAAGTTCCCAAAAGTACGTTTACTTTTTCACAGAAGAATGACGTAGCGTTGCTTAATGACATCTCAGCAGTGATCTGAAATTTGTATTCTCTGCTCCGTCAGATCGAATGAAAGTCAGAAAGTCAGCACGTGGAACAGCTTTGCTATAATCTATTTTTGATAACTATATCGAGCTACTCAGACAGCGGATAGGACCCCTCCGTCGGAGAAATGGCAGGGCCGCGGCGTTTCCCCAGCGGTGGGTCTGCCACTCGTCCGCCGGAGCCCTCCCATTTCTGCTCCGGAGACCTCCCATTTCTGCTCCGGAGCCCTCCCATTTTGTGCTCCGGAGACCTCCCATTTCTGCTCCGGAGACCTCCCATTTCTGCTCCGGAGACCTCCCTTTCTGCTCCGGAGCCCTCCCATTTTGTGCGCCGGAGCCCCCCGATTTTGTGCTCCGCAAGTCTGCCGCGGCATGCTGTAATTAGCCCTAATTAAGCTCCAAACCCCAATTTTGTCTCTAAACCCCACCCAAATTAGCCGAATACGACCCCCCCCCCCGGGTAAGAGTTCAGCGCGACCCTCAACCCCGTTCTTTACCCCCTCCCTCTCACCCCTAGCGTTTGTGTATAGAAGATAGAAGAATGAAGAAACAAGACATTTATTTCAAATTAACTACAAACAATCTCCTGCAATTTGCAAAACAAAACTTAGCGGCTACAAAACGGACAACACCGACAACAGTTGCCGGCAACCTATGGCCGTAACAATAGACACAAGACATAACATAAGACGTAGTAGTAGTATTGCTAATAAGAAGAACTTTATGCAGGAAAGAAGACCCAAACCGGTGAACACGAGATAGCAAAAGCACATATCGATTTTGATTGCAGGTTTGCCATCATTTCAAATGCAAACTTAGAGTAGTATTTTTGCGAAAAAGATGGAACATAAACTTTTTGCATGATTTAGCATTAGATCCCTCACGTGTGAGTATATTTGAAAACAACTCTATTTAGAGAGAAAGTCGAACATCTCTCGAAGAAAAATAACGAGCACTTGCCTCGTCCCATCTCTATCAAAACTTCTGCTGTGAAGTAGACCAAACGCGGAGAACAGTTTGAGAGTAAAATTTCCGAAAAATTTGAGATCCGATTCTTTGAACTCAGCCATACTCATGCCAACCTAAACACCAACAAATGGATACAAGGACAGAATGTGGAGATTAAACATGCCTTATCCGTTTCCGGATTAAACTTCGGTAAGCGATGTCGGGGACATGGCACAAGTTGAAGAGTTGTGGTAAAGAGTATAGAAAATTAAATACCTGAAGTACACAAAACTCGGAGGGTACTTAAATCTACACATGGCTGCGCAGAGCGCTCCCCATGCCCCAGTGCGAATTTCTCCGGCGCGCAGGATCTTCGCTGTTAAGGCACGCTAGACATTGTGGACTTCTATTCTACGCGTACATAGGTTACATGAGTGCTATCACTTGTCTTCCCTGGAGGTCTTCCAGATATCCACACCTCAAATCTAAAGTAAGGTGAAAATCCGTATGTGCTCAGCGCTTTCTCATGGTAATTGAAGGCTCACTTGCGAAGTAGGGATCTCTTCTAAGATTTCTCTTCATTTACGTATTTGAAAAAGGTCCACCTTCTTTATTTACCACAGTTTCTCTATTAAAAACCTGGAGAGCGTATCCATAAAAGTTCTCTGATATAGGCGGCTAAAGCTGTATTGTAGGTGTCGCCGATTTCTGTCCTCACGAGCGAGTCTCTGCCCATAAACGTGTCGAATAGTTCCAGCCAGTACGATACTATTTACTCATAACTCTTATCCAACGTTTGATGCAAGTCCAATTGAAGACAAGTGGATAGGAGTTCTAAGTTGGCTTCTAACAAAACCAGCTTGAACTTCTTAGTTGATTTTGTTGAAAGCTAACTTTGAACTTCTATCCAGTTCTTATCGTTAGAAACCAAAGAAGTATTGATGCCTCAGTCTATCCTGATAAAACTTTTTATTTGACCCCCTAATTTTCACTGAAACCTAGGGATTAAGGCTGTTTAATAGCAGACATTCCTTGCTTGCCTGTTTTTCATGAATGCATTGCTGTTTCACATCCATGTGCACCCTCCAAAGACCAGGAACGGATGGGCTTGAAGCCATCGGGCACAGTCATATGATGGGACTGAAGCAAAATTGTTAAGCATCACAAGGCATGCATAGATGCGTTGAGTTTAGAAGAGTGCGCGGATCGATGGATCGAAAAACAAAGGATTTACTGAGAAATCCTCGTATTATTCATTCAATTCTTCATGTTTGGGCTGTTCCGGAACATGTAAATAGAGGCGGTCAAGCACATTTCGTTGGCCTTGCACTTGACTTGGTGGATTCCATCAACTGTTTGTAAGTAGTGACAACTTAGTCTGTAAAAATGCGTTGTTGTGCTCTAAACAAAACGTGAAGAACCTGAAGCATTAGTGGACAGTACCTTCAAACTAATTTCGTCCATGGTCTTTGCAAGGCACCCATCATTGTTAAACAACAATCCTCGAAACTGGTTGTGTGAAACCGCATTTACGTTTTCTTCAGATAGAGTTTGGCCTATAAGTTTTGGTGGAGACAAACTGTCCCATATTTGACTCTTTTAACAAGCAATCCATCTGAAGGCATGAACGAGATGGTTCTTGATCAAGAAAGTCCTGCTCCTGTTTTTGTTAAGTTGACAATCAACATCTGTGCGATGAAAAGCGAGCGCATGCCAACAAAAATATCACTGTGGTTGAAATTATAAACCTTCTTGTACGCCATACAGGTTTGTTATGATGTTTACCTGTGTGGCTTACAATGAAGTTCATGATTTCAATGCCCACGTTTTATAATCAGAGAACATACTATAACATATCAGTGTAGCTGTCTAACGCTCTATTGAATAGGCAAATAAATCCGAAATGTTATTTTGCACCAAATGAGATGGAACAAACAAGCATCCGACATCCCATAAGCATAGTACTCAGAACCATCGGGAAACTGTATTTGTACAAATACCCCTCGTTATAAATGCAACCTTGCGCAGGCCACAGTGGTCACGTTTCCACCATGATCAAGCAGTGTAATCAATGATTCTTTACTTATCCACTATGTAAATGTTCAAAGAATCACTGATTACATTGATTCCACCGTATACAGAGAATCCTCGGTTACACTGCCTTCACTGTATGCATAAAATCACAAGTTCAAAGTATCTAGCGTGCTCCGGCATTGTAAACCATGCGCGCCGGCTAATTTAGCACCGGGTCATGGGGCGCGCTTTGCGCAGCCATGTGTAGACTTAAGTACGTGAACGAAACTCGCAGAATTCGCAATAGAATCACAGTCTATGAGAACAATAACGAGCGATGGCCGTAAAGTACAGTCGAGTAGATTTAGCGGTAAATATAGTGTGCTTGCACAGAAGGTGAAATGCGGTGAAATTTGTGCGTGAACAAATAGCCACGTCAGTACCGCGGGTATCTTGCGCGCGCAATTGGCCGACGTCACAGTCGAAACTATTTCTTCACGCGCCAATTTCACCGCATTTCACTTTTTGTGCAAGCACACTATATTTACCGCTAAATCTACTCGACTGTATCTGTGGATTAAGGAACAGCATCATGGTCTTGCTAAAATGACCAAGAATTGATACGACGGCTAGAGTCATCCCTGCCCAATAACAAAATCTATCACAAACAAAAACTCGTGCTGGATACTAAAACTAGGGTTTAGTGAGAAGCAGAAAGGGAAATCTGGCATCACTTACTTTATTGAATTGATAGAGAGCCAATGTACACATTAAGAAGGGTATCAGAAAGTACGTAGAGTGACAGCAAATGGTCCCAATACTGTTCTTCTACACGCGTAACCTGAATGTGAGATTGATTTGATAATACGACCGATATTGATAGTCTATACGTTTACCATGAATCTTGGAAGATACGTAGCAGATTAGGTAATGAATGACGCCGACTCTGAGCGCACATACATACTTGAACAGGCAATCCGCCGTGGAGCTCAAGCATGAACAAGTGCGAAACAGAAAAGTAGACTCACTCGGATTATATACTTTTTGTTTCGAAAATCCAGAATTAATCACAAAAATCACTCCATCAATAGTCAACGATTCAGCAAGTCGAAAAGAGCCAAGCACTAGAAGTGACTAAGTGCATCCGCACGAAAAATTGAAACCTAAACCTGAAAACGAGGTACTTACAACAACATAAAAGCCAACGCGACAAAGAGCAACGCGGAAAAGAAAAAAAACTGTAAGAAACGCGGAGAAACAACAAAATCAAAGAAACAACGACTAAAATATGAAGAAAGAGCGTAAACAGAGGACTCATCACCGTGGAGTCAGACGTTTGCTTGCTACGCGCCAAATCGATACGCAGCCTGCTCCGGAGCCCTCCCATTTGTGCTCCGGGGCCCTCCCATTTTCTGCTCCGGAGACCTCCCATTTCTGCTCCGGATACCTCCCATTTTCTGCTCCGGAGACCTCCCATTTGTGCTCCGGACCCCTCCGATTTTCTGCGGCGCGGCTCTTCCAAATCTGGCGGACTCGCGCCGGGCAAATTTCTCCGGCGCGGCTCTGCCAAATCTGGCGTACCTCCGGAGCAGAAATGGCGTACCTTTGCAGCAGGGCCGGAGAAGCGTCCCACTTGCCTGCCAGTGATGTCACCGCGACCTACAAGAAGGGACCGCCCATTTGCCATGCTCTCATTGGTCAACTGGGTCCGGCGCGACTCTGGCAGATTCCGACTGTCCGGCGGAGGGGTCCGGTCGATTGTCTGAGTGGCAATATCGGCCTTATACATTGTATATTCTTTCGTAAACATTGCGCATGCGTATCAAAGCTGTTCCGCCTTTTCTTTTTATTTCTAGTCTAGTCAGCTCCACCTTTTGCAGCTGCGTTGTATATAAACCTGTGTGAGCATGACGACAACAATCGTTAGCAGCTCGCAATGATTTCAAATTTTATCTCAGTTCTATTCTGTGCTGTGTCAGTGGCTTTAGTCACCTCACAGTCTGCACCATCAGGTTGGCTATAAACTTCAGGCTGCTATAAGTTACTCCGAACTTAGAAATTAGATGAATAGCGACTTGAAAAAAGTAAAATGTTGCAGTCGACGTAGGATCTCGGATCGCAGAGATTTCGGATCTTCATTTAGGTCCTGGTCAATGCCCTGGAGGTCCCTCATTGAACATTCAGTGCGACCCTAAACGTCCATGGCCTCAGTGTCCTCCTCAGTCTTATTGCTACGTTACTGGCTCGGTTGATGTTGGACCACATTACTGCTGCCCAGTTTGTAAGTGCATCACAGTGTTTGTGGTTTATCAAGAGTGAAACTTACCAAACTTTGTAGGGTCGACTTATGGTGCGTCGTACAGACCTGCTGCCCCATTCTACGACTATGTACCGCCAATGCCAGAGGATTGGCCAGCTAACATAAAAGCTTCAGCTAATTGGCCTACTTCCGTTATTAGCCGAAATGCGATGGCAAAGTTGAAGGTGATATTTATTCAATGTGCATTTGGTGCCTATCCTCCCAACTCTTTTTTCCAGACTACTTTCAACAACGAAGACGGGGACGAAGACGAGAACGTTCAAAAATTCTCTAAAGTGAATTTGCGGCGCTGAGCAAGATGGAGTTGCGAGTGGTTTCCGAGCGATTACCACTATCTATACCTGTATAAAAAGGCACGCTGAATAATTATTGCTTCAAAAACGCATAAGTGCAATAAATATAAGCTTTATTTGTAATGTCAATTCTTCAGGATAATTGTGCTTACAGTGTCCTTCTCAAGATATCTTTAGGATCTTGAACAGGGAGAAAATTCATCTGTTATCTGTTGTTCCAATCCTTGATCGTGATTTTGACAATTCCGCAAGTCGGCAGAGAATGATGAAAACACAATCCGCTAACCGTTTGATCAAACACTAAACTGCATGTAAACTGCTTTGCTATGCTTTTTTGCACATCTATATTCTTAAGATTCTTCGTAAGCCGTTTGAGAAGTAAAAATTTTTCTCGTTTGCGAAACCTGCAGCTAACGAAGCTGATTCAAAAAAGCAAAAAGAAAAAAGACGTGTCTTCTAAGCGCTTTTTGATATTTGCTGATATTTATAACTTTTTATATATCCGCCAATATCCATGAAAGTTAATTTGCTTAAGCAATGTTATCTCAGTTCTGCGTCTTCGTATCTTTCCTTGCATTGGCGGTGCATTCTGTTTCTGTCCCCCTTCTCGGTTCTGTAGTGTTGGGCTTTTCTTGTAATCAGAAAGGCTCTGCTTTGTGCGATGTCTGCTCACACAAGCTATTTATTACACCGCAAACTGAGGCGCTAACACTGCTTGGAAGCACTTATGCTTTCATTCTATCCAAACACTTTTGTTTCGTTCAAAACTCTTATTGCATCTTTTTTCTCATACTTTTCTTTTATCAAGTACCTTGTTGGGAAAATCGCAAAGCTACCATGCAAATAGGACCGTAACATTAAGTTCAAAACATGTATTTACAAAGGAATGACAAGAGGTCTTATTATGTTTCGAAAAGTCCCGTGCTTTTATACAGGTTTTTATACAAGCTTCACATCAGCTTCACACTATAATAAATAATGTGGGCATAACCTGCAAAATGTGGTACAACTTTTACTCGCTGACAAATAAATCAACCTTCTTACTTAGGAGTTCGACTGCATGGACAATGAACACAAAGATTTTGTGTAGAGCTGGAAAAAATTTGTTCAGTTTGCAAAAACATAAAGTTAAAGTGGGCGTGTCCAAATGTTTATACTCACTTATTTCAGCAAAGAAATCCGTAAATGCTCTGGCAAAAAGATAGACTACAAATACGAGTGCAACACCCTGAAAGTATTCTGTAGAAATTCAAAGGTGTGCCTGTTTCAGGCCCAGTTACTTCCGATCTCTAAGTTGTTTACAATTTGACAGCGTTCGCCAGAATTTTGGAAATGCCTATACCCACTCTTTGGACGCTTCGCTGACGAGGAATGATTTTTTGAGAGCACTTATCGAATTTTTTGGTAAATGAGATCTGTCACTGAGAGTTTATCAGCACGGGACTAGTTTCCCAAACATACAGGTGATCATCACTTTTATATTCGTGATATAACTGATCAGATGTGTAGGACATTGCAGAAGTATAACATTTGTATTTCATTTGTTGTTTTGGTTGTTCTAGCTTAGGTATCATTTTGGTTATAAAGAATGCCAAGAAATACGTGCACTGTTAGATCGTCCTTTCACATCTCTCTTGCTCTGGTGTACTTACTAGGAAAGTCAGTTGACTTGAATTCGCGTTTTGAGATGGGACACATATATACCATTTGGTTCAACTGGCTTGGCTTCGGCAAAGGCGGGGCTTCGTGACCTAATTAAGGCTTTGTAGTGATTAGAGAGCACTCGCGCGAGAGAGGCGCAGGTGCGTCGCGGGCGCGAGCGGCCTCAATTAGATCACAAAATACCGCCCTGACGGAGCCAAGCCAGTTGAATCAAAGGTTATATGATATTAGCTGAAACGCTGATTTTAAACATGCTGTTCCTAGCTGCAGCACATCATTCTGAAATGAGTTACTGATTTTTTTCTGTGCATATGCATAATCAACCTACCTGCATTACGGTATCATCATCTAAGTGGTGTTTTACTGCATTAGGTTTCTTGTCACTGACAAAAGACTCAATCTGATATTATTTTAGTATCCCAGCACCGCTGTAAGGCTGATTTCTATTTACAGGAGCTTTCCCATGTTGAATAGTGTGCCAATTTCGTGCAGAACAAAGCTCATAACTCGCTTCAGAATGATGCTCCGTGTCGCGGAATAGTTGGCCTAGGTTAGGCGCTGTTGCATGGACTGTGGTTGTCTAAGGGTATGATGTAAATTCCTTTATTGAATAACGATCCTCCAAGCGATCGGCGCGTCCACGTTTCCTCGCCTTGGCTCCTCGATTGAGAACCGACCGCACTTCTCTAGCACCGACAGCGGAACTCATTCGGAGCCAAGCGGAGCCGCCTTATATAGCGGCCGAGAAGAAGTGCAGGCGCCCGATCGCGTAGTCCGAGCACGAATCCATCAAAACAGCGAAGTCATTAAAACACCAATTTAGCACATACAAACCCACTAGAAAGGACTAGATAAGCAAAATAGAGAACGACAGAGGTACAAAGAAGCCCAGCGACTTTAGAGACAGCATATTTGGAATCAGCGTTCGAATCTGATTCCAAACATATGTGCCACATCTCAAAACGCGAATAAACTTTACTCTTGAGGGTAAGTTTTACCCCGGAAAGCATAAAACCCGTGTAAGCAAAGGATTGATTAATCTCAAGGTTAAACCTGCCCTCGAAATTGAACCTTGCTCCGGAAAGCGATTCCGTTTTTATCAACGACTATGTGGGTAAACCTTAACCCAGAGAAAGATTAACCCGCATTCACTCATCAAGATAAATTCAACTCTAGCACAAGGCAAGGTTAAATTTTCGTAAATCTCATTCTTAACGATACTGTTTTGACAACAGACGCACATTTTTAATTATACTTCTCTCGAGTTCCCTAAGTCCTCTTTTCGTGCCTAACCATATTACAAAAAACTAGGATAATTTTTTAAAACTTTTTGTTGGCCAGCTTAGCTGTATCAAGTTGGGCTATGATAGTTTGATCATATATCGAATCATTTACTGAACTAGTACCCTATTTTCCGGCGTATAAGCCGCAATTATTTTCGTCGCGCGCGGCCTGATGCGAAATGATGGTCGCGATGTGCGAAGCCGCGCAAGCAGCCAACTACCACCTATTTTACCTAGTAGCCTGATTGTAACTTTCTGCTCTCGCTCTTTCTTGTGGACGCATTGAAAGCACCATTGAAATATCAACATCATCAACAATCATTAAAATCGAATAAAATAGCAGCAGCTTTAACCTCAGTAACATCTTTAAAAACAAAAGAAAACACGGTCAACTCCATTGTATCATTGAGGAAAAGACACAACCCAAACACCCCAAAATCGTTCGAATCTCTGGAAAGAATAATGAAATATCTGAAAACGTGGACATGCGCAATGAAAAGCAGTCACAAAATGCAGCGAGTTTTCAGTTTGTTAGATCAAAACTTTCTTTTCGAAGGCTCTTTCGCGCCACTGTTCGCTGCGGCGGGTGCGGCTTATATAAGGTGCGGCTTATAAACTGGAAAATAGGGTAATTGGTAGACTAAAATTTGAATGAAGTCTTATTGCGAAAATTTTTTAAGTTGTAGAGCTTGATGTTCGCCATATCAAAACTCTTGGCTGGACATGTACTTTATTCAAATCTGAATCTTTTACTGTAACAACTCGGCCGAAAAGACGAATGATAATACTGAACGAAAAGAGGGCCTAAAAAGCTTGAGGTAGTAATTATCAATATGCGTTTGCTGAATTGTGCGACCATTGGATTCGATTTGAATTTTTTTTAGCAAATCATTATTTGAGACTTTTTGAGATTCCAGCGTACTGCGCATCTGAGATAGGCCGTTCAAGATTATTTTCGAAAATTTGAAAGCTACGTAACAAGATATTGAAGCATGCTATTTTTATTGAATTACACTTTACGAGGTTTCAAGCAATTCAAATGTTTTGATCATTTTTGAGTAACTTCAGACTAATAACTAACCTTACCTAATCTAAATATTTTACGGTAATCTTCTTAGTTTTAGCCAAAGGCTCGGTGTAAGAGTTGTTAGCTTGTCTATTTCCTCTATGGCAAGGTGTGGTTTAGCTTGAGGACTACCAGATTTTCAAAGTAGTCCTACGACTCAAAATCAGCAAATGATTCGCTTACTAATGTAAATCTAGTGAAGCCAAGTCTACGGAATGGTACCTGAAAAGCAAGTGAACTACTAATGTGAGGTTGGACAATTTGTTTCGGGCCCCTTTATAAGGTGTCCCAAAAAATGTCGCTCTGTTTGATCGCTGATAAAAAAAGTTGCGAAAAGTTTCAAAAAATTTCATTTGAGAACGGCACCAAAAAGAAATAGTTGTGTGAATTCTCGGTTTTTTAAGCTCTACTCGATTTCAAGCGGTTTTTAATTAGAAATGCAGCTTAAGTCAGCAAGATATTGTCCTTGACTCTGTCTTGTACACACAACTGATTCTTGAAAAGTGGCGAAAAGCGGAATTGTGCAAGTTGGTCATTCATCTGCTCATTCTCCAATGCAAAACTCAGTTTTCAGCTTGTGGCTCTAATGCCGAAAGTTCTGGCATATTGATAATACACTTTGAACTTACTGCTATCAAAATTGTTATGGCAAAAAACAGTCTGTTAGTTCCTTTTATAGACATGTAACCAAGTACAAATATGGCAATCTGAAAAGTTTGCATAAGAACAAGATTTTTATAATGTTAGGAAAACCACCTTGACCATGGTATAAAATGAAAGCAGTAAACCAGGCAATAATGTTGAGTGATTCATGATCATATCGATTGACCAAAAGCATGAACCAAGTAGCAGTCCAAGCAAAACTAACATGTCGTACTAAATAGTCGAAAGTGCGAATTCAAATCAAAAAGCAAAATTGTTTGTTAGCGACACTGCGTAAACGGCTGAAGAACAATTTCGAAAACTCACTAAAGAATCTCCACATTTATAATAGACTGGCTCCTAAAATAGGGGAGTATTGTAAGGTCCCAGGCATATCTCACACGACTTCAGTCGTGACGCGATTCAATGCTCCATCTGTTTATAATTCATCCGAGCTCATGTTGCATGTACAGTGGACAAGCCACTTGATCAATCTATCAGGTTGGCACATAAGTAATGCAACTTTTTATATGACTGTCTTTTTGGGCGTAGCGCATTCATTTTCTAACAAGGATTATGTTGTAAACTGCAAATGCGGACATTTTTGCCGAAATTTGCCATGTTAAGGGTTACGGTAAGTTTACGGTGCAATGGGAAAATTTTTAGACTGCGTCAGATTTTGCTGAATCTGGCCTATGAAGTTTATTCGACATGCTGACACAAAAATGTGACTCGCTTCGCATGAAAGGGCCTCTTCCATAAGGTCAAAAGACTAATGTTATCTTAGCGACAAATGAATATGATATGCTCACCATATTGGATTACCCTATTATGCAAAGATTTAGCGAATTCTGAAGTTTCGCAGTTTAGTTATTGACAGATTGTCCTCAAAACTTGACGCATTTGACTTGTTCTACTTTTCAAAGGCGCCTTATCTTAGTCTGTCTTCGAATTTCACTTCTTTTTGCTGATCCTAATGGTCAACTTCTAGATACATGCTGCCTATGATTCCTTTATGATATTTGTTTCAGGCTTTGCGGCTTCATGTTTGCCAAAATACCGTGAAACCTCGATTTGAAGGTTCTCGAAAATTGTCTAAATTCATTCTACTACGTTATCATAAATCAAACAGTTTGCGCAGGCTTGCAGTTTACTTCACACTCTGCACGATGCCAAAAGGTGAGAGGGCTACATTTGGTAATAAGAAAGTTATGGGAAAAGTTGCAAAACTTATGTGCCAACCCCAACACAAAATTATGCACACCGTGCATTTGTAAGTGCTGCGATTGAAGACAATTGGCAAGTTGTCAGATCGCATCGCGACTGAAATCAATTGAAGTATGCCCGAGGCTCAATGGTCAACATATTAATTAGTGTAAGATAAATGCGTTGCAACATCCTAATCTGCCGTGCTATGACTTTACCAAAACCCTCACCTTTTCGGATAGGGAAAAGATGAGGTCCTGATAAAATCATAGCTTATCGATGGGCTATGAGCTTGGCCTAGCTTTAAGCTGAATATGGTTCTGTTAAGCAAGGTTTGCTCTTTGCAAGTTTGATTTCTTACCAAAATGATGGCCTTTGATTTCTGATAACTTGGTCCATCAAGTGTTTAGCAGATAGGAAGACAGATTTGGAGTCAGCGTTTTATGCTGCTTCCAATGAACAAATAGATCCACGTTAGCAAAAAAATCCGCAATTCTTTGAATCACATGCTACCGCGGCAGGACAAATACAAAAAGTGTGTGGAACAACAGTGCTGGACAAAATTATAGGTCCAATCTATAAAAGCAATAAAGGCTCGTTATTCAGCGTGGTGTGTACGTAGACCCCCATACGCAGCAGAATCTAGTTTAGAATCCTCCGCAAATTCAGTACTTTGAAGTATTAAAAATTCGCCTGTAACTTTTTCTGAAGGCCGAAACGCTGAAATTTGCTGCGGTCTGCACACGCAGGACGCACAGACATGCAGACAAAACACATTGAGCTTTATATAAAATCTCATGTTTTGACTGAAATAAAGCACTTACTCTCTCATCTGGTGTCGAGAAAATCTGAAAAAAAAGAAATCATTTTTTACAAACGAATCAATTTCTATCATGTCATACGTCAAAAATGCTGTGCGCAGAAGTAGACGTAAAGTGACCCTTTATAACTTCTTATGTGGAAAAGCAGCTCACTTGGGGAGATTCACAGTTTGGTAATACATTGGGGAAGGGCTTGAGCGATTATGCGTTATCTGGGCGCTGCAGTGGTTCTCATAATTTCTCAGCTAATCAACTTCACATATGTTAACAGCAGTTTCACATCGTCTTTCCAGAGGTACATCGAGGAGACCATTGTTAGTGACGTACAATTTAGCACTAATGTCGAGGAGATCAAGCTTCAGTTATTTTTACGCTCAGCCATATTGGCTGCAGTTTATCAATGCAGCACGGCTAGCTCTTTTGTAGTCCCATGACCTAAGCTTACCAAGTAAGTTTCTCAAAGCATATTTCTTAGAGAATCCTGCTAGTCCATTGCAGAGATAGAATTCAGATTAAAGAACAAAAAAGTTTCGCTTCCTTCTGGGAAATTATGAATTAATAATGTGCAATCCATTTTTGTCGCTTGATGCGCTAATAAAAAAAACACTTCTGTTCTTGATCGAAGGTCCACCTACTAGCTAGATTTGTCCATTCAGCGATGAAGGATGGAAGAGAGAAAGAGCCTGATAGGAAAACCGTGGCTGCTCTACCGGGTGATCCCATCCTTACACGGAAGTGGTAAAGGGGTACAGCGAATCCAGCCAAACTCGCAATCCCTCAAGCACATACTGACAAGAAAAAGTGATGGATCACTAACATGGAACGATTCCGTGCGTATAATTCCACAAACCAAAATGCCTTATAAAGATCAGCACAGTTTTTTTATGCTGACCATCGAAAACGAATATCAATTCTAAGACCAATAGGAGCGAGACCGCAGTGCGGACTTGTTTTAACAAGTTTGAGTTTGTTCTTCACTGTTCCCAAGGAGTGAATAAATCTGGACGAGATAAATTACAAGTATGAACCTGCAAAGCACAGGATTAGGCTTATTTAGACAATGTGTGCAGTGCGGTCTCGCGTCTCCTGGTCATAGAATGTATGATAGATAATAACAGTAGAAAAATTCGATGTAAATTATTGGTATTGCTCTTTGGTTCCAAAACGTTTCGCTCCTTCAAGTTGTTTTTTTTTCAGTCGATATCCGAAAAGGAAGACTTCGAATTTACTCTGTCTAGATAGCATCTTGTGGTGGTTTCGACCAAAATTATTACTCCAAGCTGCTTAAACTTTGATAATCTTGTCCATGGTAATTGAACAAACTTGATAGATATGGGATTTCCGAGGTTGATGGCTCTCGATATCATCTCTTGGATACACTTAAGTTCCTCTTAATTATGGAAATTTTGGTGGACGAATATAAGAACTTTTACCTATCGTCCTGCACGATTGCTGCTACCGCCGTCCGCGTCTCTGACCAGCGGCGTTTATAGCTATTATGTTGGCAAAGCATTTTGGCTGTTAGCTTCGCGTCAACATGGTGTTGTATGTGGCCATTATGTTAGCCGTGTGCCGCAGTCCAGGAACGCAGAGCGGGCATAGTAACATTTGCGGAACGAGATATGTGAGACTTGCATATATTCTTATCGTTAGTTAAAATGGACAAATGTGGGATGAACACAGCAGTTATAGGCTGTGACCAGCATCGGTCCAGCGCTGACATGCCTTGCGAAGACGCACCGTCGCATGCAACGCGCCTTAACGCGTAGCAGAGTTCGCACGGTCACACCGCACCGTCGCAAGTTGCCGCAGACCCGACATCGCATGACCGATGCTGGTCGGTACAGCCTATACAGTGAAAACATTGTAGACAAAGTTCCATACTTGCTGAATTCACTTATATCGAAAACGAAGCCTCTTTGGAAGTTTAACCGTGCCCTTGACTCAAAAAAGCTCGGAGAGCCCGAAAATGTCAAAAACGGTCTTTACCGAAGTCTTTGATTTGGGATGTAGGACGATTCGCATGCCATGATGCTTTCCATGCAGGAACATCGCCGCGCGCGACACACCCCGCAGCGGCTTCCCTAAGCAGAGCAAGGGGAGGGAAGATTTGCGGCGTGCGCGACGTATTAAGACAAGTCAAATCCGGGTGGCGCTTGAGATCGCCCGCGCGAAAAGACCGTCTCCCTCTAATTTGAACTAAATGCAAGTTTTAGACCCGTAAATATGACTGGTGCGAAGATGCAGTTTAGAATGCTTGTTGGGACGAAGGCGGGGTTCCGCACCTGGTCTTTATAGATGCGCTCACTCGTTGCGTGCCTTGGTAGTTGCTTAATTGTGAGCCCGTTTTGCAGCATTCTAAAGTCACAGTACTCCACATGCCGGTAAGCTGCCTTAGCTACTATAACACAAAGTTGTACTGGTGCAGCCGGGACTTCTTCGACGACTTGTATCATGGTTAACTCGACTAGTTAGGGATCGGTCAGAGTTTGCCAGTGTTGCTTGTGTTGAAAGTGTTGCCGGTGTTGAAAGTGTTGAAAGCGTTGCCGGTGTTGAAAGTGTTGAAAGCGTTGCCGATGTTAGTGTTGCCGGTGTTGAAAGTGTTGGATGTGGAAATCATCAGTCTTGCAGTTTCATTCCTCCTCGAGCGATCTCACTGGCTGGTGAGTACGTCTGGAATAGGTATTGGAAAATGAGAAATGATACTGAAATGAAATAGGAAGTGCTTTCGCAAAAGCTCCTCATACGAACTTTTTGGAAAGTGAAGGACTGGTTTGAAAGAGGCAATCTCCAACATTTGGGAAGGCTGCAAAACCTCCCATTGGGTCCTTTGCTCACTATTCGCAGAAGCGCCGGATTCGACGCCCAACACGCATTCTCATCAGACTTTAGCAGCCATCTCAAATGTCGGAGATTGCCCATGCAAAACAAGTCCTCTTCTTTCCATAATTTTGTAGAGGATCTTTTGCATGCGAAAGCTTTTCCAATTCTTGTACTTTCATTTCTTATTTCCCATTTCTATTTCAAAAGTACTCACCAGCCGGTGAGATCGCTCGAGGAGGAATGAAACTGCAAGACTGATGATTTGCACATCCAACACTTTCAACACCGGCAACGCTTTCAACACTTTCAACACCGGCAACGCTTTCAACACTTTCAACATCGGCAACACTTTCAACACTTTCAACACTGGCAACACTTTCAACACAAGCAACACTGGCAAACTCTGACCGATCTCTTATGGCATTCTAACGTAATCGTATTAAAATTGTGACTTACTGATTTTTGTGCACTGTCTTTATCTCCCAGCAGCTTGTTTTGCCTGAATTATCAAGCGCTGATGTGAATTCAAAATTAAGCAGTCGTACATTTTGACGAAAACGCTCTTCTCATTATTAGGTACAGGAGAAGGAGATTCGCCCATCTTCTAAGCGTAAATTTGGTAAATGAAAGTTATTTAACGATGCTTTTACAAATGCATGCTAGTCTGCATAAATAATAATTGTGAAGATAAAGATCAGTATCATCATTACTTATAATAACGGGCTAAGGGTGTTTACATGTTTTTGTGTGGATGTGTGTGTGTAAGTCTGTCTGTCTGTCACGAAATTCGTGGAACGATTGCCAGCCAACATTCTAAGCCCAAATTTTGCACAGCGCATGCTACCAGCATGAGAGTCTAATATACTAAAGCTTGAGCGGATTCGTCCAGTGGATCCTTTGAAAATCACACTTCAGACGGATTCACTTGGCTTTTGGTCAGTAAAATTGAGCCTTTAGCAAGACCTTTTGCAAAGTCACGGATATGTTTGACAAGTTAATCTGCAAGCCATGGACTTTAGCCTACAAAATTGAACTGAAGTTCATTACTTTGGGAAAACGGCGCCAAAAAGTATTTGTTGTGTAAATGTTCAATTTGCCAAGATTTTACCCGATCATTTGAGAGGATTTTTGCACGGAGATGTAGCCCACAGTGATTATTGTATCCTATGGCGAAAACCAAGCCATGAAAAGTCCAAAAACCGATTCAAATCTGCATTTGTTCTTTTGGGAAAAGTTTCATCCAAGCGAAATTACCGATCTCGTATGAAAAAGTCTTAGGAATGAGTAGTTGTTTACAAATCCATCGTGATAGTCTGCATTGCGCGGTAAGTATCAATGTCATTATTACGGGAATGAGTAACGCATACGGATAGTAGGACCAGTGCGAACCTCTGCGAAGCAGAGGTGACGCACTAGTATGGAGATAAAGACCGTTGGCAGCAACTCGTCTTCAAACCTGACCAGCGCCTTTAGTGGTACTTTTTTGTGCAAAGGTTTGCGAACTGGCAAAGCCATTTACTGAAAAAATGCACTAAAAGGACTCTTGAGGCAGGTTTGAAAATGTATTTATCCGCCCAAAATTTATCATTTGCGGTTACTTGTGAACAATGCTTTGATTAGAGGCCCGCAATCGTTTCCACGTTTACATTTTGGTCTGTTTTGGCTCTACCGTTAGGCAGGTATCAATACGATTAGGTCACTCCCAAGGTTCATCAGTAGGGAAGAGTAATGTGAATGGAACTGATAAATTGCCTAAAGCATTCCAATACTACTTCAAAGTATTTATCTACACGTTCAGGTATCGCAAAAACAAATTATGATTCACGAACAAAAACATCACTTAATATTAGGCTGTTAGCTGACTTGTGCAACTGAGTCCGTAATTTTCTTTTCGATCTTGACATGCTCAATTTTCAATAATGTATAGCATATCGTGTGAGCTATAAACTGGCGCAAACGCTTGCTTCATAATGAGCAAAATAGAACACAAAGACTTTTTGAAAATTAGCGAAATTTAAGGATTTAAAGGCTTATAAGTGTTAGGATGGTGCAAAAATATTGTCCGTTTTGAAAAGTTTCACTTTTGAAAGTTAAACTTTGTTAAGTATCCTCATGATTTTGAATACAGCCAATATACTGGTACGTAATCGCGCAAACGACCGCCTGTGCCCAAGTCCTCATTGCACTATATGTCCATATGGAAGGCCAGGCGATTGCCTGGAGTCGGGGGTGGTCTACGTTATCACATGTCAGCTGAGTGGGGATCAGTACATAGCGGAAACTGGTAGGCCTTTATGCGTTAGGATCAAGGAGCACTTACGGCCTCGAAATCTAACACAAGTTATCCACAGCCCTAGGTGCGCATCGCAGGCAATGCCATAGCGACACCTTATTTCCAACAACAGTCACGATCTTGTCGCACGAGTCCGAACTAATAGCTCGCAAAATGTTAGAAGCCTTTTGGATCATCTTTAAAACCCAAAAATGAACCGTAAAGACGAATGCATCGCCGTGGTCAGAGAGCTGGCCCCATAACAAACCATCTGTGGGTTTTCATCTACGGGGTCAGGGTCAGAAACTTAAGGGGCTCGCAAAGTAATTAACAGTAAGGCGCACTCCGCATGCGGTGGTTTGCTCACATAACGGCTCTCTCGTTGAGCGCTGACACAGTTCATCATGTCTCTGTTATCGTTTCAGCTCCTATCCAAGACTCTGGATTGTTTCTTGTCATCGGATAGGTGTTTGAAGGAATAGCATGAATGTTTTGTAATCTTTCCAGGCTCTGAGAAAGGCGACGACGCCGAAACGTCAGCCGTAATAAAGTTATTGACAATCTTGGTGACAGGCTGAAGAATAATATAACAGTCAATATATTAGAAGCAGCAAGCCCTTCGTGACTTAGCGCACACTCAGACAATCGCCGGGGGCAGGCGGTCCGCAAACTCGCGTTTTTCTGCAGGCGCTCAGCAGAATTTTGGGGCGTGGCCAAACCATCAGCGGGCGGCACTTCCTTTACTGTCTAATGTTCTGCCAGCGGGGAGCAACACAGAATTTTCTGCAAGCGCTCGTCAAATAATCTCTTTCAGCGAGCGCTGGTCAAATTTTCAGCTAGCGCTCGGACGGTTTTTAAGCAGTTTCGGGTGTACGCCGAGCAAAGGTGAGACTCTATATGGCAGAGGAGTCATCGATGGTTTAATTACTCAAGTTTGAGGTACTTTCTCTTAGCGGAAAGTACTTGGGGGCTGCGCGATCCTCCATAAAGAACCGTGCGGCCCTCGAAAATTTTGCATATTCTCGCGGAAAGTCCGCGAGAATGCGGCCACTGCACCGCAGCTAATCTGCAAGGAAACCACAATTGTTCTTCAAGCATTCGTTCAAAATTTCGCTAAAATTCTTCCAAATATCTGCAAACGGACCGCAAGAAATCAGCGAACTATTTTTCCGGTGTCCGCTTGCCCAAAAATGGCATGGCCGCCTGCCCCCGGTGATTGTCTGAGGATAAGACTCTGCTCACATAATCGCCGGGGTCAGGCGGCCATGCGAATTTTGAGCAAGCGGCCACCGGAAAATTGGTTCGCTGATCTCTTGCGGTCCGCTCGCAGAATTTTGGAATAATTTTGGCCAATTTTTCGGCGAACGTTCGGAGAACTATCGCGATCTTTCTATGGACAAATAGCGGCTCAGTGACCGCATTCTCGCGGACTTTCCGTGAGAATATGCAAAGTTGTTGTGGGCCACGCGGTCCTTTGTGAAGGACCGCACTGCTCTTGGTACCCTCCGCTGAAAGAAGGTACCCCAAACTTGAATAATTAAACCATCGATGACACGTTTGCCACATGTCTCACCTTTCTCGGCGTACGCTCGAAAGTGCGTAAAAAGAGTACGAGCGCTTGCTGAAAGTTTGGCCAGCGCTCGCTGAAAGAAATTATTTGCCGAGCGCTTGCAAAAAAATGCTGTATTGCTGCCCGCTGGCAGAATATGCCACCGTAAAGGAAGCACCGCCCGCTGGAGGTTTGGCCAAGCTTTACCGGGGACGATCCGCAACGCTGAATCCGAAAATCCACATTAGGCGCGAAAAGGGCGAGAACATACGTTTTCTAAAGCCGCACAATTTGAAATTCGACGGTCCCCTCAGCCTCCCCCAAGGCAGAGACGCAGAGTCGCTGCGGGACCCTACATTTTAACTGTGGCGGTATGCGTACTCTGCCGCATAGCAGAAATTCGGACAGCTCGGAGAACCCCGCCCCACGGCGTAAGTTTTCCCACTTTCCGGTCGTTTTATTGCTTTAGGGCGAGCGTTATGACGTCGCACCTGCGCGATGTTGTGTCTGAGGGGGGCCACTCTCGCACGGCACTGAAATCCCAAAACCCTGATCCTGCCCGGACACTGCCTTAAAGGCCTCGGGCATAGTTCTCGCGACTTCATCGCCTCGCCATTCTCCCCACAAGTCAACTGTTACGGGTCCATTGCATGCCAATTTTTCTGCATTTCGGTTGCCATAGTTTACAAGAATTTCGTGACTAGCTATCACAACCGAAATGCAAGTTAATTGACATGCAATGGATTCTAACCGTTTGTAGCGAGAAGCGCGAAACGACAAAATCGTGTGAATTATGCTCGAGGCCTAACGCGTTTAACATATTCATGGTGGCCGTCCAACAGTAAACCTCAAAGTTGACATGTAAATTCACCAATGTTCTATTGAGAAGCGCAGCTGTTGCTACTCAGATAATCGCCGGGGGCAGGCGTCAGCAAACTCTCGCTTTTCTGCAAGCGGTCAGCAGATTTTCGAGGCGTGGCCAAACCTTCAGCGAGCGGTGCTTCCTTTACTGTCTAATGTTCTGCCGGGCAGCAACACAGAATTTTCTACAGACGCTCGTCAAATAATCTCTTCCAGCGAGCGCCGGCCAAATTTTCAGCTGGCGCTCGGACGATTTTTAAGCAGTTTCGGGCGTACGCCGAGCAAAGATGAGACTCTACATAGCAGAGGTGTCATCCATAGTTTAATTACTCAAGTTTGAGGTACTTTCTCTCAGCGGAAAGTACCTGAGGGAGAATTTTTGAGGGCCGCACGATCCAAAGGACCGTGCGGCCCTCAAAAATTTTGCATATTCTCACAAAGTCCGCAAGTCCGCGGCCATTGCGCCGCAGCTAATCTATAAGGAAACCGCGATTGTTCTCCAAGCATTCGTCTGAAATTTCGCTAAAATTCTTCCAAATATCTGCAAGCGGACCGCAAGAAATCAGCGAACTATTTCTCCGGTGCCCGCCCGCCCATAAATCGCATGGCCGCCCCCGGCGATTATCTGAGTAACTTACAGCCCGTTCCAAAAATAGTGACAATAACTGAAGGTGTTTGAGTTCACTTGTACTGTACTGGGCTGCTTTGAAAGTTCTATCCGTTTTCTGAGTTTATGTTTGATTCACTATAATTGACAGAGATGGTCGCTACGAGTGCAATAAAGCTTAACGAACAAATCCCTGGCAATTCTATGCATTCCCAAAACGTTGCAGTCTCCAGCAGATCCCCCTGATGACTTGTCTCATCACTTTACGCACGTTGGAAATTTTAATTCACCCACTCTGTTTTGCTTGGGCGAACCCGCCGCAGAGTATGTCGCGGTAATGCTGTATGGAAAATTTGCTATCGTGCAAATCGGTTTGCCCCCCCCCCCCCTTATTCCACATCTGAGGCACGTTTGAGTTTTAGTAATTGACAAACTTTCAAACCTGAAGATGTCATCCTGAAAACGTCAGCGCTAATAATGTGTTTCATATGGATTTGTTACGACACTAAAAGATTTGGAGAATATCTGAGTAAATACATTCAAAAAATCGGCATCCACTCCGATACGATATGTACCTTTTTATCGCTAATTTTGCAGCTGCAATGTCTCTGATAGCGCTGTTTAACTTCTTTGGTTTATGCATTAATCTGAGCAGTATGTAGTCATATGTGTTTGGCTGATGTCCGGATGGCAATAAAAACCGCGTTTCTCGAAGCACACCCATAATAGGTCGGTAAGAAAAGAATGTCGTTTGTAGCAAAGCAACACGACGGATTAAGAATAATGTACGAGGAGATCCGACAAACGAAGCAAACTCCACAAAGTAACCTTTAGTATAAGTCCTGATTAACGCAAAGTTTGAAGCCAAAGTTCACGAACACTTTATGACGACAAAAATCGGATAAAAATCCTAAAAATCTTTTTTACTCGCATATATTAGGCGGTCCGATAAGTCTTTTATTATCTGACTTTTTACCGGCATGATTCTGCTCTTCTTAAATTTCTAATGGGATGCGGGGTACCCTTCGAGAGATCACAGCAAGCTTTAAAAAATGGCTCCCCATTCGTATCAGGCTTGATCCGCATCGAGTTTCAAGACAAAATGGAAAAAATCCAAAATTTCAAAAGACGAAAACAATCGTATTTCAGTCCAAAAGATTATGCAAAGTTCCCACTTGCTCATGAATATAATTTCCGCATGGAATATTTATATATACACTTGCTGCATTTTTCTGATGGCTAGAAATCGAGAAAAAAATAATACGCTCAATCAAACTCCACCTGTAACGGGTCTATGCTCCTCGCAAGTACTCAGACAATCGCCGGGGGCAGGCGGGCACCGGAAAAATAGATTGCTGATCTCTCGCACCCCGCTCGCGGATTTTTTGGAAAGCAATCAGGACTTTTCGGAAGACCGCTTGCTGATTCAGCGGATTTTTGAGAGACCGCCTGTTGAATTTTTTTCGCTCTTATCTTTTGCAGATATATTGCTGAATCTCTGAGGAATCAAGAACTCAGCAAGCGGCCTTCCGAAAAGTCCTGACTGCTTTCCAAAAAATCCGCGAGCGGGGTGCGAGAGATCAGCAATCTCGTTTCCGGTGCCCGCCTGCCCCCGGCGATTGTCTGAGTATGTGATTATAGGTATGGCTTATTCGCTCAGGAATACTCTCACATTTGCATTCTTGTAGATGCCTTAGTTTTTAAGAAATACCAGTTTGAAGGTACGAGTATGAGAAGATCTATGGGAGAACCTTGTAGCATATACATGCCCTCATCCTTCTATAGAAACACTCATTCTTCTATTCTTGTTACATTTTTTGGTTAAATTGAAGGCAGTGTCCCGGCAGATTTTGCGTTTCCATTTTTTGCATGTTTTGGGCCTGCTCGACTCTAGATTCCGAATTTGAGTTTTGAAACGGGTAAAAAGACCTTTTGCGGGACGTTTACGTAATTTCCAAAAGGCAGCTCGGAAGAGAATTTCAATCGAAAGTTGGCGGGCCCGGGCACGAAAACCCTGCTGCCTAGAATTTTTGCTTTGGATAACATGCACAATGCATAAGAGCGTCGTGGGGTCCCTCGCCGAACGGTAAGCGAAGTCGTCCGAGCGCGCGCCGGTTCAAGAGCTATTTTTACGGCCCAGGGGGAGCACCAGCCGGACTGCGCCTGGAGGTCACTGGAATGACCAGGAATCCCACCTTAGCAATGTCCCCCAGGGCGCGAATCTGCCGGGACACTGCCTTTGAGGGAAAATGAAAAACGGAAGGTGAGCATACTTCGCTACAGAGCTAGGTTCATCCCATACATGCGTTGTGAGCTACAGACTTTGTAGCTATGATCTCAGAATTTCGGTCTTGCATATACCCTGCCCTGCCCTTATATGATATACTGATTTTTGCCAAAAAAACTTTTCCAAACTAAGATTTATTTTTGCCTGAAGCTCACAGAAACATGCTTTTTTTGAAGAAGCATAATTCTGGTGATGTAATGGTTTCTCCACTCTGTTAATCAGATCACGTGACTCACGGTGACTTATGTTTTTGCACGGATGAAGCGGAGCTTGCATGTCAGACATATGATCAAATCTGTTTTTATCCTTTATTCTCTTATCGTTAGTTGTCCGAAAACATATTGTTCTCACATGTTGTATCTTCAACTTTTATTACACAGCAACCAACATGATTAAACATTACAAGTTATTGAGTTTGTCCGAAAACATATTGTTGTCACATGTTGTATCTTCAACTTTTATTACACAGCAACCAACATGATTAAACATTACAAGTTATTGAGTCAATGAATAATCGTTATATGACGAAAGACCGAAAGTGCTTACAATTCTGTTGTGCGCATATCGTCGGGAAAACGGCATTTATGCTTGATGAGAGATGCAACTAATTATGATGCCTTCTGCACATTGAAGGCAATGATTTTTTTACAAATGACATGTAAATCGGGTTTAGAGCATAATCAGTATGGGTTTAGGGATTGAAGAAGATTAATAAACACGAGATTTTCGTCAAGAGTGCTTTGTTAGGATTACTAAAAAGAGATGGCTGTAAAGTATTGGCAGGCCATTTGGATGTTTTGGAATATTTCTTTATTCATTTCAAGCCACTACGCGAAGTGCCATACTACTCAGTATTATTCAAATCTGCTTGTGAGTCTCTTTTTTAAACGTCTAAGCAGAACTTTGCGTTAGCGAGTAATCGTTTCACTAATGATTAGTAGTCTTACCTACTTTCACAAGTACCAGACACACCTGTTTTTTCTAGCCTCGACCAGCCAGACTACACCAATAATTTCGCGAAAGCACCCTCTACCGTGCTGTTCCTAACCTGAAAGAACTGCGTGGGAGAGCGACCATTTTGCGAAGCACAGTGGTGCGGCTGCGTGCTTACGAAAAATGAGAAAGGTGCGTTTTGTACTCGTGAAATTAGGGTATTATCTCGTTAGTAGTTCAAGCCAATCAATTCTTGTACCCTAGTGCCACAGCACATTGATTTTCTGCTGCAAAAACCATTCTTACTACTCTCACTATTATCCTGTCCGCTACTTAGTTGGGATGGTTGTGAGGTGTATTAGTTGGGGTGAAGTTTTTTATATATCATTTTTCGTCAAAAAATTTGGTATGCAGAAACATTGCCATACTTTTCAGCCACTATGGAAGAATATATGGACTTCAAATGCACAAAAAATAGGGAGCAAACAACGCATATCAAAGTAGCTAAATGTATCCGTACAGCGAGGTGTCGGAAAACGAAGTGATCGGGGTTCAATTTCTGTTTGAACAAGTCGACTCGGTTATAACTAAGGATCCAAGTGCTTCAATCTCCTCACGTTTCAGTGGTCCACATACTCGCACTCTTCCTCTCATCTTTCTCTCTTTCAGCATGGGAGGCTGAAAATGATGGTTGTAAGCCTGTATTGATTACTTCATAAAAACAAACCGGAGAGCCAGTGAGGATATGCATAAGGCTAAGTTGTGTGGAAATTGTGTTGTTCAGTGGTTTCGAGAAGCATCGTTTACAGATTGTGTCGATCATTGCCGTAATGTTCTAAATAGAAATCTTTATACTTGTAAAACTCAAAGCATGTAAAATAACCCTTTCTATATTCGGAATACAATCTTTTGTGCTCAAACAGACAATTACCAAACTTGGAACACATATGTTTTCGATCCTGTCGGAAAGCATAAGCTACTTTTCGCTCCTCACTGGACCGTTATAGACTTTAGGTACTTGTACGTATCTAAATGAAACCCCAAAGGGAACATCTCACTTTAGTCATGTAAGCAGGAACGGTAAAACTTATTTCAGTGTCAGGAACAGTAAGGGTGAATCGAAGTGGAGTTGTCCCGAGATAAGTCATTCTTAACGTGGAAGAATAACATCCTTAACACCTTAACATGAGGTGGGGGAGCTCACTCAGTGCAACTATGCTGGCGACATACAGCGCCTCATTTTGATTCAACTAGCTTGGCGGCTGGAAGGCGAGGCTTCGAGACCTAATTAAGGATAGATAATAATCAGAGAGCACGCGCGCGACAAAGACGCAGACTACGTCGCAGGCGCAAGCGCCTTAATTAGGTCAGTCACAAAGCCCCGCCTTTCAGCCGCCAAGCCATGAATCAAAGGTTACCTTATTCCCAGTGAACAGTGATCGGGTTGGACCAGGAAAGCCCGTTGATAATTTATACAAATGGTCAAATTTGCTGATTACAAAATTTGCGAGCTTGTGCCTCATCAGAAATGCAAAACATTTGCTTCTACTAGGTTGCCTTAGAATTTCGGCCATCATTTTATTTTTCGCATCCAATACATCTGTCGATCTCCTTGTACCCGCTTCTTATGAGGTTTTAAGAGAGGCTTCGGTAAATTCAAGTGTGCACAGCACTTACAGTTTTTCCATTTGTCGCACCCTCGACAGATAACTTGCTATTGCATGCACCAGAGCTTATTTGTTATGTGAAGTCTTATTTGGCTAACAAAAGACGAGGGACTCCAACAGCGCCGTTGGGACGGCACAAGATAGAGGCGCACTGCGGGAATAATTACGAAGTCAAATTAACGATACTGACTTGCGAGACCGAGATTTGCGCCAAGAAACTATTTGAAGCCGCGTGAATTTCTGTCAGAAATCCAAAGATGAATGCCAAAAATGAGTCCTTGTCTATACCGCCGACAATGGACCTAATGACTTAGGTCCATTGTCGGCGGTATGTCTTCTAGTAGTTCAAAAGTTCCACTTTCCTTAAACCTCGGCATCGTTTATATTCTCAACCAGTGCGTCACCTCTGCTTCGCAGAGGCTCGCACTGGCCCCTACTTTCTGTATGCCTTAGGCAGGCGCTATTCTTCTCGAGGAGTATAGCATGGCGACGATCGATATGCATCAAATACGTGCTGGCGATTTTTGTCGCCATATTGGCGATCGCTACGACTGGCGATCGCCAATATGGCGACAAAAATCGCGGCGATCGCCCTTCGCCACGCTATACTCCTCGAAGAGTATAGCGCCTGTCTTACCCATTCCCGCATAATAGTGACATTGAAACTCACCGTGCTATGCCGACTACCACGAATGAAATGTAAACAGCTACTAATTTAGAAAGCTTTTTCACGTGAGATCGGTGATTTCGCATGGAAAAAAGTTTTCGCAGGAAGATAAAGGCAAATCTGAACAGGTTTTTGAATTTGTCATGGTTTGATAGTCGCCATAAAGGCAATAGTCACTGTCAGCTACATCTCTGTGCGAAAATCTTCTCATATGCTTTTCTAGAACCTTGGCAAATTGACCATTTACGCAAGCAATACTTTTTGGCGCCGTTTTTGTAAAGTAATGGACTTTTGGTCACTTATTTAGGCCTAAGTTCATGACTTGCACATTTACTTGCCGTAAACACCCACCACTCTGCAAAAAGTGGAATTACGGACCCGATTTTGCGGCCCAAATGCAAAGTGGATCCGTTTGACGCGCAATTTTCAAGAGATCCACTCAACGAATCTGCTTGTGCTTTTGCATGTTAGATTTTCATGCCAGTAGCAAGTGCTATGCTAAATTTGAGCCCAGGACGTTGGCTGGAACACGCTCTACGAATTTCGTGACAGACAGACATTCAGACACACACACACAAAAAAACGTAAACACTCTTAGCGCGTTATTATAGTAGGATGTGCCTGACAGGTTTGTTAGGTGTTCTTTATTCCAACCAAGGCCTAACGTTTCGACGCCTTTCGTCTTCCTCAGAGGCCTGAAAATGGCTCAAAGCGTCACCTATGAAAAGAGTCCATCAAGCACCATCCCCATTCCTGCTAGTTCGCGATCTTCCCTCAATATTCCTACCGCAAAAATTGTCAGCGCCAGAAAATGAACATACCGTTGAGAACACCGCTACGTCAGTTTCCGCACCGGAAGAGATGGTCTTGGCGGATGGACTGAACTAAACCATAAATGCGCATAGCATGTGATCTATAGATTGCATAACGATATGAATGGGAGGAAGTCGTTGGTGACTGACAAGCACTCATTCTTATTGTTCACTAGCTGGCAAACCCGGCTCCGCCCGGCCCTGTCATTATTATATTCGTAATCAGCATGCTCGATTACCCCCTGTGCCAACTCCCAGCCCCGTAGCTCAAATTTTGCAAAAAATCGATAAAATCGATATCGATCGATAACGAAAAGTAGCCTATGACACGCTCCCTGCCCCGAAGTATATGTGTGCCAAGTTTGATCCAAATCGGTTCAGAAATAAAAATTTCTATTCCGCACATACGTACAGACATACAGACAGACATACAGACATTCAGCTTTATATATAAGATTGCTGGATTCTTTGCAGAAATCCAGAATGCTTCCAGCGCCTTCCTAGCCGAGTTTTCCTTCTCATGGGTTAAGATTTCGCATTTTATATCGAAATCGTCCCCACCATGCGCTTCGTTTCTATGCCTGCCCAACGGTGACAACAGGGTTTTACGCTTTTTGTCCGCCAGATGTTCGTTTATGCAAGTACTAAGCGACCTTCCAGTTTCGCCAATATAGAGAGCATTGCAACAACATTGTCAATTGAAATGCCTTAGTTGCAATGCTCTCTATATTGGCGAAACTGGAAGGTCGCTTAGTACTCGCATAAACGAACATCTGGCGGACAAAAGGCGTAAAACCCTGTTGTCACCGTTGGGCAGGCATAGAAACGAAGCGCATGGTGGGGACGATTTCGATATAAAATGCGAAATCTTAACCCATGAGAAGGAAACCTCGGCTAGGAAGGCGCTAGAAGCATTCTGGATTTCTGCAAAGAATCCAGCAATGAACAATAAGAATGAGTGCTTGTCAGTCACCAACGACTTCCTCCCGTTCATATCGTTGTGCAATCTATAGATCACATGCTATGCGCATTTATGGTTTAGTTCAGTCCATCCGCCAAGACCATCTCTTCCGGTGCGGAAACTGACGTAGCGGTGTTCTCAACGGTATGCTCATTTTCTGGCGCTGACAATTTTTGCGGTAGGGATATTGAGGGAAGATCGAGAACTAGCAGGAATGGGGATAGTGCTTGATGGACTCTTTTCATAGGTGACGCTTTGAGCCATTTTCAGGCCTCTAAGGAAGACGAAAGGCGTCGAAACGTTAGGATTTGATTGGAATAAAGTACACCTAACAAACCTGTCAGGCACAGCAGTATTGAAGAATATAGACTTAGGTCCATTTATATCACTAAATGGGCTTAGTGTTGCACATAAAAGGATTTGACTCATTGGATACTTTCAGTGACCGTTCGCTACGATCAAATGTGCGGCTTGTCGCTAGCCAGCGTCGAGGTTCGTTCGTTTCGTGACCTTGAGAATCTTGTTGCGAATCTTAGATTAGGCCTAGGCTGACAGAGTGGGAGAAGGCGCTTGAAGGTATGGTGAGCAAATCAAAGAGCCTTCAATCCGTTTTCAGACCTCTGATGACGACCACATTGCCGGTACAAAATCGGGATTTCACCTCTTCTACAAAACTGACGCCAAACAAGTCGTTAGGGAAGGAAAATTTTTAAACATAGTTGATATGAAACAAAGAAAATTTGAAATGCGTAAAGCTTTTTCAAATCCATTTTCCCCAGCATCATAATTATGGTCATTATTTACAGGTGTGTACATTACGAAAATCACCTGAGTAGTTTTTGGCTCCCTGATGAAAGGAGGACTTTGAAGAGCGAGATTTTGGTAGGTTGCTGCCATTCTTCCATGATCGACACCCTCATGGTACGCAAAACTATAAAAACGCCAACGTTTCCACTTTACAAATCTTTACAAAATAAAATTCTTTATGATCTCATATCTAGCAGAAACCAATAATTACCGTACAAGTCGTGCATGATAGCGGAAAAACATTGCACCAAGATAAAGTCCCATACCGAGCGCTAATAGAATTAGCAACAAAGTGCAGAGCCGTCTTCTGAATTAACTTTTTTTATAGTTTATAGTTTGATTTCTTTTCTTTTGAAAACCTTGTCTTCCTTCCAGAATTGTCATTTTCCGGTAGAGTTGGTGAAGGAGTTCTAGCTAGAGGTGATGGTGAAAGCCTTATGATTGATAAAGGACCAAACGATGAGCTTCTTTCTTTCACAGGTCTATAATTGGAAAATCATGCTAGAAATAGTTTTCTGTGTACTATTTGATCTAACTGGACTGGCGGCTGAAAGGCGTTCGTGACCTAGTTAAGGCTAGAGAATGATCAGAGACCGCGCGCGCGAGAGAGACGCAAACTGCGTCGCGGGCGCGAGCGGCCTCAATTAGGTCAGAAAGGCCCACCTTCCAGCCGCCAATCCAACTGAATCAAAAGCTAACTTACCTGTCAAAGTTTCCACCCTCCATAGGAATCCAGCCACTATTACTGATGTCGCGCTCCTTCGCCGGCGGAGCAGTTGGTGTGCTATCAGGGCTGGAAACTACGACCTGAAAGAAGGAATTTTCATATTTGTTGCTTGCAAGTCGCTTGTTTACCTTAGGAACTTCTTTAGTGTCCTCATTTGTCTTCGTAAATATTGTCATCGATTCAGTTAATTTCGATTTGTACAGACAGAAATGTAAACCTGTTATAATCATTTTTCGTTCAACGTAATTTCTGCTGTTTGCAGCTCCAAGACAGCATTGACAAATTGATGGATGCGAGAATAATAATGAGAAGATTGATAACATTGAATGGCGTTCATTATCATCTTTAACTTTGATGAATACATAATTACACGGGTGAAGGTTAAGCAATGAAGAGATACTTTACTTAGAGCCAATATTTTGTTGTCTTTTTGATATTTTGCAGTCTTTTGAGCATTTCAATATAATATGCCAAAACTGGTAGCAAAACAAATCTCAAATTGAAATATGAAATAATTGGTTGATAACCGCACTTAATACTAGCTGATTTTGGACATTAGAACTTTTTATATAGAAAGTGGTAGCTAATGAGCCAATCTATTTTTATTATAGATTTTGCATTATTTGCACATCTTGATTTTCTAAAAGTTACTTACATGAGTAACAAAAATGTGCAAGTGACTCGTTTATACTAGTAAATATTTGATGAAGCGATGAAGCTGTGATGAAGCTTGAACTGACACTTAGCTTGATGAGGCTCTGTGTCATGACATGTGAATAAAAGTGGTTGTTCTACTACCGAACAGTTTTGAAACTAACGCTCCAGCGCCAGAGGTCGCGCTCGTGAAAGGGGCGTTCTGGTGCTTTTGGGCGTTTGAGCGTTTTGAGCGACGTCTGGCCGGGGCCAGTGGCCAAGACAGTAATAGGAGATGATAAGCAAGTGCTACATCTAGGTATAGAAACGGAGCACTCTCGAAAAGAAACTTGCAGTTACCTTAGAACATGTGACTTGAAATCGTTCTAATGGGTCATGCACAAAATTCTAAAGTCGAAAGTAATACATGGGTACCACAAGTAATATATTATTTATCCTTCAGCAAAAAAAATGTTTAAAGTGACCGCAACATAGCAGAAACAGATTTGAAGATTTATGGATACATAAGAAATAAGCACTTTAACAAAAGCAGAACCAATCATATATCTTTTGCTCATGCTAAAAATTTTGCTAATGAATTGAATTTTTCATGTAACCATTGCAATCTTCAAGAACTACGCTACGGTTCTGCTTTCTGCATTTGTGCCCTACTTTCTTTCCTGGTCCTACGAGGACAGGACAGTTGGTGACTGTTTTTTTTTTGAAATGAGATATGTAGTAGTAGACTCGTGATGCTGATCGTAAATCTGCCTTCGGCATCCTCTGCGCGCTCTGTTGGAAAAAGTTACGAATGTCTTTTTCGATTTTGCGTATTCGCAGGAAGATACGAACGGTTCCTTTACAGCAAGTGTTGTGTGGTGTAGTGGTTTATATTGGTTCGAGAGTGAAGATTCTGGCATTCGGGTAATACCTTCTAATAGTACTGTACTACATTTCGATAGTACTGTACTTGTAATCTCAAAAGCCACAGATTTCGCTTTTAAATAAGGTCTAAAAATCTGATTATTCTTAGTTGTAGTTTCAGAAAAACTTTGAAAAGTTCTATTTGTATGTTTCATACAGACTCGTCCCCAAATTTGGTCCAAAGCCAACAGCTGAGTTGGCCAGCTTGTGCTGCTGCATGAATGTCTGCACTTTCCTCTCTATTACAGTGCTGACAAAATTATAGGCCCAGTCTTAAAAATGCCATAACTCACTCTCTCTGACCGTAGAGCCCACCACCGATTTCTGCCTTATGGCTTCGCTCACAAAATGAAGTCTGTAGCGTGGAGGCACTATATGAATCGAACTTAATGGGCTATATAATCAATTGCAACAAATCATGACCTGCTGCGCTAAAGTGAAAATGACACATTAGAATTTTTGACTTAGTTGTGATAAATTGCTTTGAAATTATGAATGTTAAGACGAAAAAATGACCGCTGAAAATTAATTAGAAGTCGTTGTTGATTTTTCTATAAGAATTTATGGCCAGTCCATTTTACATAAAAACTGTTGAAGTGACCTATATCCAGACCTAGGCGTGAAATTTTTGTGAGTTTACTTTCTTACTTTCTTACTTACTTTAGAACGAAAGTCAATAATTGTTCAGATTTATGACTTATGACTGCACCGAAATAAAAAGCCACAGTGCCTTTAATGTGGAAAATGGTAAATGTCTTTGCGGGATTACGTTGATGCACTCCCAATCTATCTCTGGAAGAGATAACAATACTGAAAGAAAGAGCTCATGCTTGAAAAGTTTTCACTAACATGGTCCAGCGAAAACCTTGCTAGTCTGCGAATTTCTACTGTGTTGCAGTCCGATCACATAGATAATGCAGCTTGGCCCACATCAAATGTAACGGGCTGCGAGATACTCATGGTAAATTTTTGTTGTTCTTGTTGGTTATCTTTTTCATAATCCTCTGTCTTATTGTCTTATTGTGGTCATTCTCGACTTGGATTTATAAGGGCACAGTGTATGAAAATGGCTCAACCGTAATCGCTATGTAAAGTCGCGAATCGTCAGTTTTCAAGATTATGGAATAAAGTATCAGAAGAAAATATTGGAAAAATGAGCTCTTTTCTCAAACTACGAGCTACGGAAGCTGTCTGTTTTTCCAGCAGAATCAGGGACCAGCCCACAGTAAAAAAAATTGTCCATTGGTGGAATGTTCCATCTTCCGGAATATCTGGACAACATGCCCTTTTATTCAACTAGCTTGGCTGCTAGAAGGCGGGCTTCGTGAGCTAGTTAAGGCTAGGTAGTGATCAGAGAGCACAAGCGCGGGAGAGACGCAGACTACGTCGCGGGCGCTAGCGGCCTTAATTAGGTCACAAAGCCACGCCTTCCAGCCGTCAAGCCAGTTGAATAAAAGATTGTGCTTGGTGTTTGGATCAATGTGGAAACGGCAATTGGCTCTTTCAACTTCATTTTACCGATTTGCAGTAAAACGAACTGGTGAGCCTTGAACGAAATTTCGCTGGAAACCATTGAGTGCAAAGAAGTGCATTCCTTGGGAAAAATAAGCTCGAGTCATTTGTAACTCAATATGTGAGACTGCACACTAAGCTCTATTAACGACGGCACCCCGACTCTGCTAATAACTTTCCAGTAAAACATTTTCTAGCGTAACAAAGTGTAGAAATGTGTTCTATTGACTGACATTTAACCAACAAAAAGAAAAGAAACAAGGAAACAAGGAGCATTCACTGGAAATAAGCAGGTTCTAGTTTTGCAGTTCGTCAGTTAGCATGTATGGTGTGCACTACGCATATTAGGTTACAAAAGACTCGACGTTAAATGTTCGTATCAAAGCCAGAGGCAAATATACAGAAGCGATCCATAAGGTCTATCCAGAATCTTCTTGTTTATCAGAGGAGAGCAGACGTTTACAATTCCTTTTCCATACAGTCGCTTCATTTCATATGATCATGTGTGTCACTGCACACAAGTTCACCTTTGGCGTCCCCATCCCGGATTCGTGGGAGAAACAAGCCTTCATGTGAGTGTTTCCAAGGTGTTCTTAGCATTTTCTTTCCTTTTTAGTTACTAGTCACCTCAAATTGATGTGATCAATAACAATCGGTAAGTCTCTTGCGTTTTTGCGATTGCACCAGGATGAGGACGCCAAAGTGGACTGTGTGTGCAATGGCACACATGATCATATGAAATCTCTCAGACACTCGCACCGGCCGGCGACCGTCCGACGACGGCCTTGCGGCCGGCGGCCGCTCTTTAAATCTGGGCGGAGCTAAATACCGGCCGGCGACCGCTCCAAAGAAATCTACCGGCTGGTGGCCGCTCGAACGGCCGCCAGCCGGTAACATTGCCATGTCGCGGGAAGTGAACGGGATTTGAAAGTTGCATGATTGAGCCGCGTAAGCAAACGCTCTACTTCTCCTCGTTTATGATTAAGCGCCATTTTTCTACTTCATTCATGTCTTGTTTACGTAATTTATCGTTAGAAGAAGGTTTTGTATGCTTGTCACTCAAAAATACCTAGAATTCCGTAGTAATCTTACTCTATCTTTGCTAATACCGCCCTCTTTTTCACAATTAAAAGAAAATCCCAATGACAAGCGCCTTTTTCAGATTTGTTGCTTGTATGGCGATAAAGAAGTGACACGCAGAGCTGGAACATACTGACTGAGGGGTACAAGGCTTGAATTTCGCTCAGCTTCTTGACTAAACAAAAAAGAACGAATGGGCATGTTTCATAACCATCTTTTTCAGGAGACGAATGCGATATGCATGGTATTGAGATCTTGCGCTATGCAACCAGCGCACCATTGCTTGTACTCGCTGTTTATCATCCTTACCCATGATGGAGCATATGACCTTTCGACTAACTCTTTATGTATCTCAGAACTATGCATTCATGGATTACGTGTGTACTACATGTCACACATTTCTATGGGAATTGGAATCTATCTAGTTTGTGTTCTGCTGCAAGACTACTGACCTTACGCCTAACTCCTAGTATAGACTCCATAAGACAGGTGCGTTCTTATCAAAAATTTGGAACTAAATAAAAATAAAAAAATAAATAACGAAATAAATACGGAAAAAGAGAAACCGCGTCACATAGCCACTTCGTATCGCGGCGCCCACATACCGGCTGGCGGCCGTACCTTTCCGGCCGGCGGCCGTCCGAATACCGGCCGGTGGTCGTAGACTACGCGGCTGAGTGAAATCACCTGTGGTCCCACCAGCCGGCCGTCGAACGGTCGCCGGCCGGTGCGAGTGTCTGAGATGAAGCGACTGTATAGACTTGCACGATCACCGCAGTAACTGTTATTAACCAAAATGGGCCTCAAAGCGCTGCAAACACCACCCGCAAAAGGCCACTTAACGCCACCTTTGTTTGCGATTCCCTGGCAGTGACTGTTTTGACAACGTCTTATCGCAAAAGTTCAGCTGTTTAGCTGCTGTGCCTGAATGGGTCAGATCGGCCCTGACCCACTCACGCTAAAAGGCGCACCTTCGTTTTTTTTTCAGTACATGAAGTTCGGCCGCTTCGTTGTGCCTCACAAAACCAATCTTGTGCCCTTCACTATGCCGCACGACTCCGCTGCACGGT